CTCGGGCCGCTGGCTCCTCCCTGCGACCTCCTTCCGCCTCCGCACCGAGTCCCCGCCCCCCGCGCCCCACCTCCTCACGGCGCCGCCGTGGCCTCCGCTGCAGCCCTCCGCTCGCCGGGCGCTTTCCATGCCAGCGCCCCGCCGCCCACACTCCCTTGCAGCCTTGACCTCGGCCTCGCTCTCTCCCCCTCGGTTTCCTCGGGAGGATCCCCTTGTCCTACCGGCTAGTGAGAGCCCTTTCCTCATCCGCACGCGCGTGGTCCTTCAATCCGCCCGCGTGGGGTGAGCCCCTGCTAAGTGCCTGCCCCACGAATGCCAGGCTGGCTGACCTTTACAGTTTAGGACCGGCGAGCTTTGTCAACACATCCTTGTATGGCGTGAAAGGCGCTCGAATGGATGCAGTAGGGGAGGTCGCAAAAGTGTGTGGGCCAGTCCGGAAAGCCTTCCTTGAAAGGGGCGTGAGAACTGGGTTCTGGTGGCTGCGCAGGTGAGGCAGGTCTGGGCGTCGGGGCGCACCCTGTCCCACGTGCAGAAGTACTGTCGCGTGCTTGCAGTATGTGTGCACAGGAATTTATTGGGCCTTGCAAAGCGACCAGGTCGAGTGCAAGTTGACACAGACGTCACAGCGAAGGGCTCTGGTTCCTCATGCCAGGATTTCACAGCGTGGTGGGAGACCAGTGCAAAGATTGGACAGAAGCACTAGGGAGCACCGTTCTCAGAGTTCGAAGGGGGTCGGGGAAGGGAGGGAGACAGCACCCAGTGTTGTAGTCGGACAGGAGTTGTAACGCCAGTGTCTTTACCTTGGAAGATGGCCCCAGGTGAGAACCAGGGACCAGAGCATGTATGGGCGAGGAGGTACTGGAGAAGCTGAAAGGACCAGGGATGGTTTCCAGAGCATTAGTGGGGTGGGCAGATTAGAAATTAGGGAAGACATTCTTTTTTGTTGTTTTATTTTTTATTAAAAGATCATTATATTGGGGACTCTTACAACGCTGTTACAATCCATACATCGATCGCATCAGGCATGTTTGTACCTATGTTGCCTTCATTCTTTTCTAGACATTTACTTTCTGTTGAGCCCTTGCTATCAGCTCCTCCTTTTTCCCCTCCCCCCTCATACCTCCTTGATAGATTATTATTATTTTCATATCTTGCAATAAGACCACTGTCTCCCTTCCCCCATGTTTTCTGTTGTTCTTGCCCCTGAAAAAGGGTGTATGGTTGTGTCGATAGTTGAAATCCGTTCCCCTTTCCTCACCCCACGGGAAGACATTCCTGAGAGAGAGGGGGGATCTAGAGCACAGAAAGGTGATTCTCACTTGAGGGTCTGTGTTTCCTCTGTGCAACAAGAGAGACTTTGGATGCAGCGGGGAATCTGAGAAGAGTTGGGACCGGAGGCCCAACTGTTCTTGGAGAGCTTATCTGTATCTTTCTTTTCTAAACACACTTTATTACAGCACTTGGAGGTTTACAGAAAGATTACACGGAACCTTGTTTGTTGCTGTTGCTAGGTCCTGGCGTGTCTGTCTGACTCTGTGGACTACAGTAAAACTGCCTACCTCTGCCATCCTCACCGCCATGCTGTTTGAGCCCATCGTAGCAGTCACTGTGTCTTTCAGTGACACCCCGTTTCTAAGCAGGATGCCCTTCTCCCGCAACTGGTCCCTTCTGATAACATATCCAAAGTACCTCAGATGTCTTGCCACCCTCCCTTCTAAGGGACATTCTGGATATATGTTAGCTTTTCTCACAGTTCATGGTAGATTTACTATTTTTCACCAACACCCTGATTCAAAGGTACCAATCCTTCTTCAGTCTTCTTTATTCATTGTCCAACTCTCACATGCATCGCAGGCGATTGAGAAGATCAAGGCAAAGGAGTCTTCAAAGTGACATCTTTGCTTTTTAACATTTTTTTTTAATCATTTTATTAGGGGCTCATACAACTCATCACCATCCATACACACATCAATTGTGTAAAGCGCATTTGCACATTCATTGCCCTCATCATTCTCAAAACATTTTCTCTCCACTTAAACCCCCGGCATTAGGTCCTCATTTTTCCCCTCCCTCCCCGCTCCCCCCTCCCTCATGAGCCCTTGATAGTTTATAAATTGTTATTTTTGTCATATCTTGCCCTGTCCGACGTCTCCCTTCACCCACTTTTCGGTTGTCCGTCCCCTTTTTAACATTTTAAAGACTTCTTTTGCAGCAGATTTGTCCAATGCAATATGCCATTTGATTTCTCGTCTGCTGTTTCTGTGGGTATTGATTGTGGATCCAAGTGAACCGAAATCTTTGACAACTTCAATCTTTTTTGCCATTGATGATAATGTTGTTTTTTGGCCTAGTTGGGAGGAATTTTGTTTTCTGTTTCTTAGGTCATTTTCTCAACATACAAATTAAATTAGTATGGTGAAAGGATATGGCTGTGATGCACACCTTCCTAATTTTAAAACAGGCAATATCCCCTTGTTTTGCCCCAATGACTGCCACTTGGTTCCGCATGAACATAATGAAGTTTTCTAGAATTACTCTTTTTCTCAGTGTCATCCCTAGTTTATATGATCCACACTGTTCGGTGCCTTGGCTTAGTCAATACAACACAGCTCAATCTCTTCCTGGTGTTCTCTGCTTTCGACATTGATTCATCTGATGTCAGCTGATCCCTCTTTCCATGTCTTCTTCTCAATTCAACTTGCATTTAAAAAAAGCATTTTATTGTGGGCTCTTAAAGCTCTTAGCACCATCCATCCATCCATCCATCCATCCATCCATCTATCCATTGTGTCAAGCACATTTGTCCATATTCAGCTTGCATTTTTATCAGTTCCCTGTCTGTTTCTTTCCAACCCTTTTTGAATTATCTCCAGCAAAATTTTAGTTTCTTTCAAATAGATTTCAACTGGTCATGACAAAGTAAAACTACCCCTCAGAGCCTCTCTAGGGACACTTTGCTAAGTCTTCCTCCCATAGAACTACTGGATGGGCTTGAACTTCAAACCTTTGGTTAGCAGCTGCACACAAGTGATCCTTATGCAGGATGTACAGAAGTCAAATGTGCCCCCTGACCACCATGCTTGTTGCTTCTATTATTAACATCCTCTACTCCTTTGTATTATCTGTTACTGTTGATGCGCCAATGTTGATACATTATTAACCGAGCCAGTTGTGTTTCAGTGGTAGAAACCTCACCATCATGCCAGAAACTCTGGTTGGATTCCCTGCCAGTGGGCCTCAGGTGGAGGCACCGCTCATCTGCTGTGGAAGCTCTTGTGTTGTTATCATGCTGAATAGGTTTCAGTGGAGCTTCCAGACTAAGATGAACTAGGAAGGGAGACTTGGGGATCTCCTTACAAATAGCCCACAGAAAGTTGGAGGTGCAGGACCCAGCAGCATTTCATGTTGTACAACCCTTTGGGCTCTGACTCACAGTGGCTGTTGAACAGAGTGGAATGGCTTGTTCTACTGTATAAAAGGTCGATCGGAGTCAGTGTTGTGTGCTGTTGTACATAGAACCAACTCAATGGCACCTAACAACAACAATAACAGGACTGTGGCCTCTGACAAATGTAGATGTCATGTGTCACCAGTATAGTATAGTGTACTGTAGTGTAGTGTAATATAGTATTAGTTTAGTATAGTATAGTATTAGTTTAGTATAGTATAGTATTAGTATAGTATAGTATTAGTATAGTATAGTATTAGTATAGCATAGTATAGTATTAGTGTAGTATAGTATAGTATTAGTATAGTTTCACTGCCTTTAAAATGCTTTGTGTGTTACCTATTTGTCCCTTTTCTCTTCCCCTTGAATTCTTGGAAATCATTGATCTGTTTATTGTCTTACTGTTTTGGTGAAGCCATCTATTTATTAAAACATGGTGTTCTGCCTGGTGACGTAGTGGTTATGCATTGGGCTGCTAACTGCAAGGTCAGCCATTTGAAACCACCAGCCAATCTTTGGGAGAAAGACGATGCTTTCCGCTCTCACAAAGAGTGACAGTCTCAAACCCACGGGGAAGTTCTTCCTTGTCCTACAGGGTTGCTGTGACTTGACATCACTCAATGGCAGTGAGTTCATTTTTTATTTTCTTAGTGTTTTGCCAGGGGCAGAAGAAGGGAAAGGTTTAGACTGGATTGTACAAGTGTACATATGCATGTAGTCAGTAGCCAAGATGACAGTTTTGAAATCAAGTCCTAAAAATGGAGCCCAGTAGCTTCTAGTTTAAATGTTCAGCTGCTAATGAAAACATCGGTGGTTCGCACTCTGGTGCATAGTGGGTCCGCATTGGACTGCTGACTGTAAGGTCAGCAGTTCCAAATGACCAACCACTCCACAGCAGAAAGATGAGGCTTTCTACTTGCATTAAAGATTGTGGTTCCGATTCAGGCCAGTCTGTGAGAATGCAGAGGCCATATGCACTTGTGGAGATGACAGCCAGCCTCGGGGCAGTTCCACAAGGTGACCAGGAGTCAGAATCTACTTCAGGGCAGCGGGCAGTAGGTTGTCCCAAAGAGAAAATAGCATGTGGAAAAACTCCATTATCTTTTAACTCTTATTTTTCCATGAACTTTCTGATGCCCTTTTCTGTAGATTTACTTACTCTGAACCACTAGAACTCCTGATGTATTCTGGATTTTAAAATTATGTTGATCAAACATCAAGTTATGCACTTAAAACTGGTCATTGGGTTTTATGTAGAAAATTAAAGGTTCCTGTTTTCCCCCACAAGTACTGTCTATGTTAAGCCTTTGCTTAAAATATTTGGTTTTTAGTGGATGTGCTCAATGGTAAAGATAGCAAAGAACTCACTCTCTCTTCAGAGGCTGAGGCTGGTCACTGTTGGGTTTGCTGGAGCTCACTGCTGTTCTCTTTCCTAGAGCGGGGAATTCTTTCACTCAGCTGCTGCCTTGTTTGAGGGCACTTTAAGAAGAGCCCTGGTGGGGTAGTGGTTGGGCTGCTGGGTGCAAGGTAAGCAGTTCAAAACCACCTTGCCACTCCTGGGAGATAGATCTGGCTCTGATTCCATAGAAATGAAAAAACAACAACAACAACAAAGAAATGAAAAAACAAACAAACAAAACAGAAAACTAAGCGCACTGCCATTGCGTTAATATTGACTCATAGTGACTGGATAGGTCGGAGCAGAGCTGGCCCTGTGGGTTCTGAGACTAAGTCTGATGGCAGTAGAAAGCCTCATTTTCCTCCCAGGGAATGGCCGGTGGTTTAAAAATGCTGACCATGCCGTTAGCAGCCCAACTTGTGACCAGGGCTCCTCACTTCCATTAAGATTACAGCAATTTTTCTCTGTTTCTCGGATCACTCTGAGTCAAAATTGACTTGAGGCACCTAGCAGCAGAAACCGGGCACTTTATTTAACTGTTTTGAGTCCTAGTCTTAGTTTTGGTGAGATTGAGGTGCGCATTTCCCCCAAGGCTTTACCCTGGGTATGTGCGCAATGCGGTGTCCTCAGACTTCGCCTT